TGATGTTTTTGACACATCACCGGCCCCTAGCATCTCCAGCACCATTGCTGTGTTTTGTAGAAGGATTAAAGGCCTGCTGTTCTGCTGGCCTGCCCTGTGGATATTTGACTCCCTCGCTAACCCACAGAGTCCCAAAAGCCAATTCCACGCAAGAATTCTCTAATTCTTTACACCCTGAACGAGTTCTGTCTCTGTGCGATCCTGATACACCAGGTAATTTTGAGATTTAGTTCAGGTGAGAACCAAGGACTTAGTCAAACAGCACCGTAACAAAACAAGCCGAGGTCAGGTCTCACCTGTTCTCTGTCGGGTCCCTGGGTGGCATGGTGAGGATCTTGCTGGTGTCTTATGCACAGGTGATCTGTGTTTCTGGAATGATCTCAGGCGTGTAAGAATTTGCTGACATCTGGGTTGCAGGGCCCGCTGCTCTTATTACAACGTCCAGTTATTCACGATGTGAGCGACACATTGCCAGCCTAACAAAAACCCACATGAGCCCGCCATTTGAAGGTGCCTTCAATGTGCTTGGCATCTCAAGTTGAAGACTCTTTTAAAGTCATTAAACTTGAGCCTTCGGTGGGGGGGGGGGTGTGTGTGTGTGCTCCTGCATACACCCAGAGACACCCACAGAAGTGCAGGAAACGGAGGTAGGTCACCAGCCCTGGTAAAGAAGTAAGCAGGGCTCCAAGGAGCCAAGAGTTCTGCCATGCCCATTAAAACGCACTGTAAATCCTATCAGTCGTCAGTCATCCTTCCCCAGAGCGTTTCAACAGGTGTGGTGGTTAGAGGGCACTTGCAGACTTGCCGAGGGCTTACTCTGTTCCCGCTGCCACAGTTCGTTTTGGGGATGGTGGTACCCAAGGTTCACACTGGCTGCCAGCTGGGCAGCGTGGATGTTTTTGTGCCAGGAAGTCCTGCTTGCATCTCCTCCCACAGCCTGTGTTCCCCTGGAAGAGCAGTGCCCTCTGGTGGCCACATGCTGCAGTTACAGCTCTGTGCTGGAGCCGATTCGCTTATAAATATGAGGCATTTTAGCCCAAGGAAGCCATCCAGCACTTTCTTCCCTGTTCCAGAGCTTGGCCTGAGGTTAAATAACACAAGCTGCTTGGTTTTCTGATGGGGGAGGATCTCATCTCTGCTTCCTGTAAGGTTGGGATGCTTAAAGACTTGTCTCATCCTATTTCCTCATTTTTTTCTCCTTCTCTTTTCCTCTTATTTTATTGTTAGCTGTTTCCTTAGCTTTTCACTTGGTCTTTTTTCAAACAAATACCCTCATGCATTCCATTTTTTTCTTAAGAGTGTTAAAATGAAAAACCTAACTGAGTCCTGGGCCTTTGGTGTGAGGCAGGTTCCAGCTTCTTTAATTGCTGTGTAGGTAACAGGCGGCCCCAGTGACTGGTCAGGCTTGAGCTGTGGGATGATTTCTTGTACTCTGCGGAGAAAAGTAAATTACAGTGAGATCCCCCAAAGATGAACAAAAGCCCTGGGGGTAGGGAATGAGGACACTGTCAGACAGCATCAGGGAAGAAGAAAAAGCTGCTGCTCTGAAGAGGGAGATGGCTGTGAACAAAGAGCGAGGAAGTTGAGGTTTGTTTGTTGAGGGACTTGAACAGCTTCTGGTTTTCTGGTGGTTAATTGGAGATAAGAGTCTCTCAGAGTTTTTGCCTGGGCTGGCTTGGAACTGTAATCCTCAGATGTCAGCCTCCAGAGAAGTTAGGATTATAGACGTGAGCCACTGGCACCACAGTATTCCACTCACTGATGCATTTTGGTGAACTGTTAATTATTCAAAGAAGTTTCACCCTAGGGCCTTTATTTTGTATGCTTTCAAAGGACCATGAGAAAGTGTCAAACTGTTAGTTTCATTTTTCCAATGGATATAGATTTGAACGGAATGGTGCTTTATTTTAAAATGGAAATATTTATGCTAAGGTGGTGATGTACAGCCATACGACAACCATGCTTAGAGTTCAAAACTTTTAGGGATCCACTCCACGGGGGCATGGCTGTTCTTAATGTCTCAATATCACTTTAGGGTTGGTCACAGGAGCCCAATGTTTGGCAGCCACTGCACCGTAAGCAAAGGACGAAGGCAGAGGTGCCGGCTTTGCCGGCCTCATGGGCTGGGTGGCCGCCATTCAGTTGCACCATCTTGCAATGTTGCCTTTCAACTCAAGAGACTGATTCCAGGAGAAGGCTGCTGGCCTGACCTGAGTTGTGTTCTCTGCTCAGAGGAGGATGGAGATGCCCCAGGCTGAGCATGGGGAGGGGTCAGTTTCCCCCAGAGGAAGTGCAGAGTATAGATAGCGTTTTAGAAACTAGGTGGAAGACACAGGAACATGAGACATTCTACAAGACTCCAGGCTTTCACACACAGTGAGATCGAAGGAGGATATTCTTAGGAGAGAAACAAAGAAGTCAATGCCTATGCGCCTCTGATCATATAAAATAATACTTAGGAAATGGAACTCTTTCCATTTCTTTTCCTTTGTTGCTGTTTTTGCTTTCTTTTCGTCTTGTTTATGTCTTTGGGAGGGTAAGTGTAAGGTATATTAAATAGGTAGATTTCATTAGGTAGCCGATGAAGAAAACACCAAGCGCTATTCAGGCAGGAAAAGTTTATTTACCAAACTGCTGCCCCTGCCGTGCATGGTGGAGAAGCATGGCTGAAAAAAGGAGGGGGGAAAGGGGGAGGGGGACCCATCTCTGGGCCAGGACTTATCTAGGCCAGGCACAGGAAGAGGTGTGGCCAGGTGGGGGAAAGGTGTGGCCACACTGGATCTGGATGAGACCTCCGTGTGTCTGGGACCCTCCTCAGGTCAGATGGGAGGCATGTGGCCAGAGGTGGCTCAGGATGTGACCTAGCAGGAGGGGAAGGTGACTGCTTCCAGGTCTGATACCTACGAAACAGATACTGGGCAGAAACTTAGCCAAAAGGGAGGTGTTCAGACCTTTCAGTAAGGACACAAAAATGGTGGGACTAGGAGTGAACAAATCCAACAGGGGTACTCACTAGATACTAGGTTAAAAATGAACTATAGAACTTGTGGGTAGGGGTGGCAGGGAAAAACTGGGAGGGAGCGAGGGAAGGGGTGACACTTATCCAAAAGGAAATGTACTCTCTATCTGACTTGCATAACTGCAACTCCTCTGCACATCACCTTTATAATAACAATTATAGAAAGAAAATAAATGGGGCTGGAAAGGTGGCTCAGTGGTAGAGTGCTTGCCTTGCATGCATGAGGCCCTGGGTTCAGTTCCTCAGTATCACATAAGCAGAAAAAGCCGGAAATGGCACTGTGGCTCAAATGGTAGAGTGCTAGCCTTGAGCTGAAGAGCTCAGGAACAGCGCTTAGGTCCAGAGTTCAGGCCCCATGACTGACAAAAAAAAAAGAAAAAAGAAAAGAAATAGGTGGCTACCCTGGCTGCCAAGGACCTGCTTTCTGCTGCAGATCAGTTCAGGGGGAGATTCAGAGAAAATGGAAGGGCAGGACCCTGGCACCAAGTAGATAGATGAAATCTACAACCCTATTTTGTGTCAGGAATGAGAAAAAAAGTACACACAGAGGCTGGGGGATTTCGTAAATTGACGGAAAGACCCAGAGACACTCAATGGATGGTTTTGTGTGCCAGTACTGGAACCTGAACTCAGGGCCTGGAACTCTTGTTTGTTTTTGCTCAAGGCTGGCACTCTTTGAGCCACACCTCCATTTCGGGCTTTTTGCTGGTTAACTGGAGCTAGAGTGTCATTTTTTCTCAAGCAGGCTTTGATTCCAGCTTTCTCAGTAGCTACAATTCCAGATGTGAACCACCGGCACCCGGCTCCCATCCACCTTTGAAGTCCTGAATAAAACAAGATGCAGATTCAACCGGAGAAATTTATTTACTTTTTTTTTCTAGGTACATAGATGACAATTATAGACAAGTTTTGATACATAGGAAAACCCTTCTGTCCACCTTTTTTTTTTCTAAATGAAACATCACAATAATTTGTTTTTTTACATTTTTTTAAAACAATACACAGCTTTCTTGGGCTGAAGCAATTGCAAGAACATATTGGTACTGGTATATTACAGCTACTTACAACGTTTAAGAACAGCAATGGAGAAAAATAAGTTATTTAAATATTGATTTCATATACAGAAAGTGCAATGTTGTTAGTTGTTATATAACTTGCTTGACAGTATGTTTTCTCTATCAATTTAAAATCAAGATAACTTGGACTCAGACAGTTTTTATATATATATATATATGTATATAATTTTTGTTTTTATTTTTTTTTCTGAACAGAATACAGTACCACATGCAGCTGAGACGTGGTGAAGTGACTTCCCTGCAGTTATAAAAGCAAGCTCTTGCTATGTTGGGGACTGGATTCCAATTTTGACCGCACTGGGTTCAGGACAGAGAAAAGAGCCTTCACTGGGGCAAGGCCATGGAAAAGTGATTTATACTTGGTGATTTGGGAATGTCAATCATTGGGGTTAACTGTATTTCTTTTCCAGAACAGCTGTTTCGTACATAGCAACATTCTGTGTAGCTACCTGAGCCAAACTGCCTTTTCAGGTTTCTTTTGTGCTTGCCAAAGACAACGATTTCCACTGTCACTCAAAATTCTGTACTAAATACAAACGGATTAAAAATGGATATTGCTGCAGCCTGCCACCTGACTACAAACAGCCCAGGCAGCTTCCAGCCATATGTCACCCACGCACGCAGGCTCCTCTCAGACCAAATGAAAATGTTTAAAGCAAAAGAAGACCCAACAAGCACTAAGGATATGCAAAAAAAAAAAAAAAAAAAAACCACCAAAAAACAAAACAACAACAACCCAAATTCCACAAATTTAAAAAGAAAACAATAAAGTAAAAAACAAAAACAAAAAACCACCTCAGTCCCCTCAGATCAGACATTCTCTCACTAAAAATTATTTGTGGTCCCTGAATTTCATTTTCCATGCAAAGGCAGTAACTTCCAGAGTGAGTTTTAAAAACAATGATATGGTTTGGCATTCTCAACACCTCTAGTGCTAGTTTTACTTAAATGAAAACCCTACACCAAGAATGAACTAAAATTCACGTGAGGTTTCCCTTCCTCCTTGGCTACTAACCTCTCACGAGACTTCTGGGTTGCCTTTTTGCTCAGCTACCATGGTGAGCAGGACCTGCTGGAATGTCAAGCTGAGGTATTTCAAAAGCAAGGAGAGAAGATGGTCTTACAGCACCTACTTCCACCACAGAACACTCTGCTGGGTAGCTGCAGCTACCCGGGACCCTGCCACCCACCACTGCCACTGCAGAGAGGCTGTGCCACAACCCTACTGGGAGAAAGATGAGCTCAGTGGAAAGCGGGGATCTGTAACTTTGTACTGTAGGTCTCCACAACTCCTTCACATGGCATCTTATAGAAGGTGTATGTCACTAATAATAATAACACAGGTTATTTTGAAAAATTCACACCAAGACATGAAGACACCCACACAAGCTGAGGATGTCCTGATCCTCAATCATGGATCCAGACATCTAAAACAGATGTTAAAGATAGCTTTGTAAGCCACATAACCACTCCCCTGCCAAGCTCCCCCAAGCCCCCAAGGGAAGCATTTCTTTTAATAACCAGGTGAACTATGAAGAGAACTTTTGATCAAAGTCTTGCATTCCAAATGCTTCTATTCTAAATAACCACAGGGATGCTTCAAATAGTGTTCAGAAGAATGTGAAGGAAAAACAAAATCCATTTTTTAAGTAATAGAAACCTTAAAGGTTGTCGAGATTTGCTGATTACTGAGCAAATTTTAAACCCTGAACACTAGAAGAGGGCAGAATGGATTGAGATCTGTGAGAATATGCATACTTAACATGGGTATCTGGCTCTTTAATGAACCTTGGTTTCAATTTTAAGAAGTATCAAAGTAAGAAAAAGAAATGAAAGAAACATAAAAAAATCACCTTGGAAACCATTTCCCTTTTCAATACACACACTCACTCTCTGTCTCTGTCTCTGTCTCTCTCTCTCTCTCTCTCACACACACACACACACACACACTTGTGAATTTCTAATCTCTCTTTTTTTTAACTGAGTTTGTGGTTAAAGACCCAACATGAAAGCGCGTCTGATAAACACCCCTACAAAATAAGCCATGGTTAGAACACGACAATTAGAAAAGCTCTTTTTTCCCCCTTTTTTTCTTTCTAGAAACATCCCAGGAATGTTAGATGGCAGTTTAAGCTGAAGACCTGGAATAGGGTTACAGGGTTGTGGACACTAGATAGGTATCTGCTTAAAAGCTTATATTAAGGCAAATAAAAGCTGATTGCTAGAAAGCAATTCTTAAAAAAGTCTCTTGTTTATCTAAAGGAGAATAGGACTTGTTTATTTTCCCGGTGCAGCCAGATCTTTTTAGCTTGTCAACGAGCGAGCACGGTCCAGGGTGTACAGTCATTCCCAAGGCTGTGACTTTGGCCTGGCTACGCCCATCTGGTGTGGGCATGACTGACAAAAGAGCCAAGGGTCACATCAGAAACAACAGGCTACCCGGCCCCTCTCCTCTCCTCCTCGGCAGCACAAGGCCAGGCTGGAGGCATGGTCTTGGTACCTACTTGGCATCTTGGTTCGTGTGTGTCTGCAAATAAAATGAAGTGCTTGTCTTGCCCTTGGCGAGGGGGGTCATTGAGAACCCCAGCGATTTCCTTGAGAGGGCTCTCCTGGAGGAGAAGGGCCTCCGTCCTTTGTCCAGATGTGTCATTCCATGGGCCACACGCGGGGCCTTTCTTCGGGATCCGAATCAGCCTGCCAGGGATGGGGGAGCGGCGTGGGCATTGTAAGCACAGTGAAGGGCTGGCTCTTGTCCAGGTCGGTGCATCGCTGGGCTGGCTACATGGCCTCTGGGCTGGGTGGCAGTTTGAAGAGTCTGGCTGCGGACAGGAGCTTCCTCACGTGGCGCTCCTCGGTGATGCCGGCCTCCTGAAGGCAAGTATGGGACAGGGAAGGCACCTGGCTCAGCATGCTGAGCCCCGCGTCAGACAACATGCTGGCATACATGGGCAGGCCGATGGAGGTGAGCCAATCCGACACCGACGTGATGCAGCCCGGAGACAGGGGCTTTTTGCAGATTTCTGTGAGCCCGCCACTTGGGATCTAGATACAGAAAGACAGCAGTGAGCCTGGGGAAGACCACACTGGTTTACAGGCCTACACGAGAACAGCACTGACACACACGCTTGCAAAGAAAAGGCTTCAAGGAAGTATTCTAGAAGGTATCTGGAATCAGACCGAATCTCCAATGATATGGTTGGGTCTTAAAATTGTTTAAGTATTTATTTATGCTTCTACTTCGTTTCACAGTGCTGTGTTCTTCCATACGGGGTGCTTTAGGTGATAAGCATAAAAATGCAATGGGTTGTAGGGGGGGTTTTTTGCTTTGTTTTGTTTTGGTTTTGCTGTTACTCAGGATTGTATTCAGGACGCTAAGAACTCCCTTAGCTTTATTCACTCTAAGCTGATTGATGTTCCATCACTTGAGCTATACTTCCACTTGAGCTTTTTACAGGTTAATTGGAGATAAGATTTTCATACTTTTCTGCTTGTGCTAGCTTTGAAAGTTTGAACCTTGATACACAACTCTTAGCCTCCTGAGTAGATAGGGTTACAGGCATGAGTCACTGATGCCTGGCTACATTGTAGTGCGTGCGTGCGTGCGTGCGTGTGTGTTTGTGCGCGCGCGCCGGCCCGAGAGCTTGAACTCAGGGCCTGAGCACTGTCCCTGGGCGTTTGTGCTCAAAGCTAGCTCTCTACCCCTTAAGCACTGCTCTACCTATGGCCTTTTGGGCAGTTGATTGAAGAAAAGAAATGTCAGGGACTTTGCTGCCTGGGCAGTTCTTAGCCTCCTGACTAGCTAGGATTATAGGGATGAGCCACTAGCTCCTGGCTTGGTTGTATTTTTATAAAGCAGAGTTTGCCATGTACTTTGAATCTACATGAACAACCAAAACGTAAGTATATAATCAATGTGAGTATAAAAATTACAAAACATAATAATATGAATGTTGGTGAACACAAGAAAATGGACCTTGAAACTTGACTACCGAATATATAAGGGCTTTTAAAAAGGCAATGTGTAGTATGTAAAAAAATCTTTGAATTTTGTGCAATTTTGATGAAGCAAATGCTTTTCAGAGAATACATATCCTCAGGTATTACTTGTAGGTCTACAAAGATTTATCCATCAGGATGCTCTTCAGTATATTAAAATAAAAAGTTGGAAAATATCTCTAGGTTTCAACAGTGGAACTGGGTAACCTATGAGACACGTACCCAATAGAATAAATCAATAAAAATAAAATCAATAAAAATAAATCAATAAAATATTGATTTAAAAAAAGATCTTAGTACAGTAAAAGAGATTCATTTTCAAATAAATGAGAATAATCAGAACTATACAAACATGTGTAGGAATAATTATTTTTGAAATTAAGTAAATTTGTATTTATTTAGTGTCCATAACATGGTGTTTCATTGAATGCATCCATTTTAATGCAATGGCTAAGTGAGCTACTTAAGATGCATTAATTACCTCATGGTATTTCACATTTTTTCTTGTGGTAAGAACACTTAAAATTACCGCCTTACCTTTTACTTTTTAAGTATAGCTATACCTTGCTACTAACTGTAGCAATCGCGTGGTACAATGGATCTCACTTGAATTTACTTCTCTTTAACTGAAATTTTCTGTGTACTCCATGCATTTTGTTTTGTTTTGGTTTTTTTTGGTCGGTCCTGGGGTCTAAACTCTGGGCCTGGGCGCACTTCAGCTCAAGGCTAGCGCTCTACCACTTGAGCCACAGCGCCACTTCCGGCTTTTTCTGCTTATGTGGTGCTGAGGAATCGACCCCAGGGCCTCATGCATGCAAGGCAAGCACTCTACCACTGAGCCACCTTCAGCCCTCCATGCATTTTTTTTTTTTTAAAGATAGTTTTCAATGTTGAGATTTTCTTCTAAAATTATATTTTAGAAAATGTCTAAGGCTAAGTGTGGTGGCACACACCTGTAATCGCACCTGTAACTCTGGCTGACGCTGGAGGATCATGAGTTCAGGGCCAGTGTAAGCTACACTCTGGGGCTTAGGTACAGATCCGGTGGTAGAATGCCTGCCTAGCATACGTACATGAAGTCCTAGACTCTATCTCCAGAACCAGGATGGGGAAAATTCAAAATCTAGGCTAATCATACAACACATATGTAATCTATAACATATATATTATAAATATGATACTATTATAAATATTATAAATATATAAGTTAAAGCATTCTCTCTCTCTATATATATAGTATGTTTTAACTTCCCAGCTGCTTCCTTCCTTCCTAAGCACCGCTCAGCCTTCGCACTGTAACCAAAGCCCTCAGAACACCATGTGCGAGAGGGTGCTCGCTCACCGCCATGCGGTGCTGCTTGCGTAGCAGCTTCACCCGGATCTGGTCCATGTTGTAGGCGATGTCCCTCTCGGGCTGATCTAAGTCCTCTGCGTATCTCTGCACCAAGGCTTCAGGAATCCCACAGCGGCCATGCTACCAGGGAAGAACAGACATGGGGATGAAGAGTTGTCCAGATTAGTCTTTCTTTTTTTCTAAAATATACTAAACCTAGGAGAGGATAAGGCATTTAGCACATTTAGGAAATTAACACCCAGATTCCAATTGGAAACAAATCGACGGTCTTGGTTATCAGGATGGATGCTTCCAAATACCGGCAAGCTCTAGGGAAGTGTGTTTAAAAAAAAAAAAAAAATTGTGAATATACCGTATAGAGGGGTTACAATTACATGGGCAAGATAATGAGTACATTTCTTAGGGAAGTGTTTTGAAACCAATTAGGCAGGATACAGCTGGGCACTGGTAGCTTGCGCCTGTATTCCTAGCTACTCAGGATGTGGAGATTTGAGGATTGAAGTTTGAAGACGGTTGGAACAGCAAAGTCCAATTAACCAGCAAGAAGCCAGAAATGGAGATGTAGCTCAAGTGGTAAAGCACTGGCCTTGAGCAAACAAAGCTCAGCAAGAACCAGGCCCTGAGTTCAAGTCCTAGTACCAGCACAGAATACAAACAAAATGAAGGAAGAAGGCAGATCCTGACCAGCCTGTATGTTTCAGACTAATGCCCTGTCGCACTCTATCTGATTGTGTTGCCAACTCTTCCTGTGCTGCTGAAGACAGACTCCTAAACTGCAGGACAAATCCTTCTGGGTAGATGTTCTCCTGTGTGCTGTTTAGCTATGAAGATGTGTACCACATCACTGGGCTGAATACCCTAGAAAATTCTCCTTACTTCCCTTTCCTCAAAGGGGATCACTCATAATATATCAAAAAGGGGAGGAAAAGAATAGGGAGGGGGCAACTGGGAGGAATCCATGGTCTGAAGAATTTTATGAAGAGGAGGAGGAAGAAGAGGAAGATGACAATGACCAATGACAGAACATGCATTTCCAGGAGTCAAGCAAAGCGCTGCTAGTACCACTCACTGTCTTCGCATTTAGTTTGGTTCTTGCAGATCTTTTTATTCATTTATTTCTTTCTTTTCAAATAAAAAAATGATTTAAAAAAATTATAGATCTAAATGGTTTGGTACCACAAGCGGTTCTCCTATGACCTTTTTATCCCTGTCAGATAATAAGGTAATGAGATGTCTGAATTAGGTCTGATCAGGAGGTCCAGTCATCCTCAGCATGCTCCTCTAGGAGGCTGTTGTGTGGGTTAATTTTGCACCCTGGTCAGTGTGTGGGGAAATGCAGCGGGGAGCACACGGGGGTCAGACACAACACACCAGGCTGGGCTCTCTCTCCCTCACAAATCCAGATTGTTCAGGATCTTGTTCTGCTCTGATAAACCGATCACCCTGAGCAAAGGGCAGCTGCCTCTCTCCCACCCCGGAATCACATCAGCACTGCCACCACCACCACCACCACCAGGCGGAGGCTGAGGTCTGTGCTCTGGGTTCACAGCGGGCAGCGCGCACTGGACAGAGGCGGGTGGGCCGCTGCTCTCCCCGTGCGCCTCCAGGGCACTGACCGCCAGCGACCTCCGCAAGGGTCCCTGGGTACCTTGTCCGAGTAGGGCTCCTCGGTGAGGTCGATGCCCTCAGCCTGCAGCTTGTTCTCCGTGAGCGTCTCCAGGTCCACGGCCCGGGTGCAGGACACCTTTCTGCTCAGTGCGGGGCCCAGCTTCACGCCGTGCTCCTGTAGGCTGGTGCTTTCAGGGAGCTCGGAGAGCCAGGGGGGTAGGGGCAGCCTGGATGCCAGCGGGCAGTCGGCGGGGCTGGCAGGGCTGGCCTTCTTCATGGGCAGGCAGGGGGCGTCAGGGCCTGGGGGAGCCGGGTGGAGGCCATTGGCTAGGCGCTCTCTGCTCTTTTTGGCAGGGACGGGTGGGGGCTGGGACGGATGTTTTGGCTGCGTCCTTGCCTCAGGACCCCTCTGCTCAGCATCTACCCCTTCTTTGGTGCCCGAGGGGTGGTGTGTCCCTTCTAAGTCATGTCCTTTCCTGTGGCCCTCCAGAGACGTCCTTGCTAAACTGGGTTTAACGGCAGGAGGCTGAGCCTCCTTTCTGGGCCAACCCTGTGGCGGCGAAGGAGGTGATGGGCCGAGGGAAGTGGCCGCTGGGGAGCCGTCCAGTTTCTTAGGAGTCATTTTCTGGGGATCAGAGCATCCCTTGCTTTGGGTCAGTAGCAACGCCTTGTTGGCTGGAGAATCGCGCCCCGGGGGCTGAGGCTTTGCGAGGGACGTGGCTGTCTTTTGTGGCACTTCTGGTACAATCTGAGAGGAGGATTCTGTCACCTCGGTAGGCACAACTTTTCCATCATCAGGCTCTCCTTGAAGGTCATCCAGGGAATGGGACCGGGGCCACGCGTCCACGGACTGGGGACCCTCCAGGGTCTCACAGCTCCGACAGATGGAGACGGGGAGGCTTCTCCGGTTTTTACTGGCTCCGGTCCCACAGGGCATGTCACAGTGCTTGGCGATATCCGTGCTGGGACCGCAGCATCCCCTGCTGTCCTCTTCCTGCTTCTGGGCCTCCGCTGACTTGGTTAAAGGCAATGTTGGGTAGTTGCCCAGCTGACTCCGGCTGAAAGACTTCAAGCTGGACTCGGTTGACGACTTGGCAGACGAGAGGGCAGCTTTCGGAGTCTTGCCTAGGAAACAAAGTTGTAGTTTACAATCGTGTGTCAAAAATGAAGCAATCCAATCCACGCACAGAGAGAGCCTCGTGTAATGGAACTCCAATTCCCATATCTCGCTGTTAACATCAGGGACACAACACTATCACCAGTGGCGCTCGGTGAGGAAGGGCCCTTATGGTTTTAGAAAGAACTAGGAAAATTGGGTGGTTAGGTGGGGTTGGCAGAGATGGGGGAGAATGACAAAAGAGGTGACCATTGATCAAGGTGTATTAACTACACTGACATGCTGAATTGCAACCCCTCAGTACAACTACTCCAAGATAATAAGAATGATTTTTAAAGGATTTTTAGTTGTATTAAGGGGGTTCATGGAGATTGAGATTCATCGAGCTATGTGGAAAAGAAAGATGCTCTGTCAGGCAGAACAGGAAAGTTATGCTCCTCGGTGCATTGGGCACAAGGTTCACTGACCACCCCTCCTTGGCTTTGTGTGCTGAGTACAAGACCCCGAGCTCATGGTTGAAAAGAGTTAGATCGATACCTTGAGACAGGGACCATAAATGATACCACGGAAGGGAAGATTAACAAGTATTAAATTACACCTCACTTGAAGCAGCTCTCTAATAAATTTACCTAGAAACGAGCAACTAACTTTGTTTTAGACCAGTAAAAAACTGATGTTAGTACTTTTCCAGAAACCATTGATGAAACACTTACATGCTTCTAGCAGAGCAGCTGCCCTGGCTAAGATGAACTGTCCTAATGATAACCGAATGATGATCCAGACACAATCTACTTAATGAAGACCACTGGGTCATACTAACTGCTGCTGCTGCTGCTGCTTGGTAAGGTTTACTACGGGTCGCTATCCAAAGGCCAGGCACTGTACTAATTAATACCTCCACATACAGGTACATGGTGAGTTCATTCATACATAGACTTGCCCTTTGTCTTTAACTTTCTGTTACCCTGTTGCTTGCAGAGCTACGCTGATGCCTGGGGGAAATACACCAGCTAACAGGATATAGGAGCCAAGTGATTTTATTACTCTAGACCTACATAAAAAGATGAAAAATAAACCCACAGCAGACTTGGAAGGGACAAAAAAATGGCTGGCACTTTCAGTAAACACTTTAAATGTGATATTTTAATGTCGAATTTTGACACCTCCCCATTAATCAATCTCTTCCCTTCAATACAATACATGTAGCAACAAGGAAAAAGCAAGCTATGGGCTCATTTGGCAGGGAGAAGAAAGGGATGGATGGGTCCCATGGAAACAGCAAATGGCCACTTTAGGGTAAATAAAAGGCATTGTTTGAGATAAGCTAAGGCTGTAGAGATGAAGGAGAAGGAGCAGAAATAAATGGCCTGGGGCTGTAGCCCTACAAGAGAAAAACAGATTCCTTCCATGATTTCACAGCTACCAAATTCACTCTGATCTCAAACTGATAAGATGCAAAGCATCACATGAAGCTGCACTGCAGACTCTGAGATGATATCGTAAACACAGTGGCCTCCTCAATCACATTTTACAAATATGGTCTTTCTTTGCGGTAAGACACAAATCAACAAGTGAAATATTTGTCAGTCAGCAGACTTGGTTTGATGCCATGTGTCCTCCCTTGTGAGGCTTGAACAACCTTCTCTCCCCTTCCATCCTCCCTCTCTCTTTGCCCTGCGTGGGATGGAAGTCAGGGCCTTGCACAAGCCAGGCAAGTGCTCTACCACTGAGCCTCACCCAGCACTTTCCTCGTGAACAGTCATGCAAGAGCAGACAGCCTGTCTGCCTGTGTGGTCCACACTGACGGACAACCTCACACTAAGCATTATTTGTTGGCTATTTTGTGGTCACATGAAGCTCATTAGCCTACTGCTGCTCCTGAATATCTTGGCCATGGTCCCATTCTCCACTAGCACAGCTAAATGGAAAAAAAGGAAAATATCTTCAGAAAGCCTATACCATGAAACTTTAGAAAAAACCCACCTGAAATAGAAAATTCTTAAAACTCTATTAGCATAAATTTTAGAAATATGGGTCTCCCCCCTTCACTCCCAATATAAATCATACATTTAAAGTCCATCTTTGCATTAAGCTTCGATTAGTAAGATCTCTGGATTTACAGAGTTCAAAGTAGGCCCAGCAGCTGCTTTCAACCAATTTGCCATCAGGTGCACCTGAGTTCTCTGGGCATTAAACATTCTGCCGGTGACATCTATAAAAAGCGTCCCAGTCGAGCAGTTTCAATTTGTTTGGCTAGGGGAAAGTGATCAGCAGAGAAGGAAAACCTTTCGGACTCATGGGAGGATTTGATGTTTGCTGACACTGAGGCTACGCTACAATCCTGGGGAGGTTTTTTATCCAATCTGAACCCAGACTATCTGAATACTACTGCTCAGAGGATCTATTCTCCTCCCACATTACAGAGAACACTCGTGGGTGGCAGGGCTCATGGATCAAATTTTAAGGTCTCTAAAGTACCAACCAAGGATACTTGCCAGTGCTAAAAAGGGGTCACGCTGAATAAATGCAAGCAGAGGGCTGGTAGCCAGAAGTGAGCACTCTCGTTCTGTTTTTTGTTTGATGTCCACAATGAATCTCACACTCTTTCTGCCATCATTCACTGTATGAGCCATGTTTTGTATTCACCACCTAACACACACACACACAGATACACCCCTGAAACTAAGATTACAAATAATGATGCTAACAAATCTAACCCTAATTCTTACCTTATAAAATGCATTCTGGTATTTTCTACTCAATTTTATCTCACACACAGAAATAGTACTATCTGTGACCCACTAACGAGTTGCAATCCAGTATTCTCTAGTGGAGGCTAATATCTGAACTTATGCATTACAAGATAGGATTCCAAAGGCAGCTAAAAGCTGCTAAACTTGGACAGGGTGCTGGTGACGCATACCTAGCTACTCAGGAGGCTGAGATCTGAGGACCAAGGTTCTAGGTCTGCTCAGGAAGACAAATCTTGTCTCCAGTGAGCCAGCAAGAAGCTAGAAGTAGAGCTGTGGCTGAAATGGTCAAATACTAACCTTGAGCAAAAAGGCTAAGGGACGCTGCCTAGACCCCGAGTTCAAGCCCCAGTGCTGATACCAAGAAAACAAACACACACACAAAAAGTACCCCTACATTGGGGCTGGGAAGGTGGCTCAGTGGTAGAGTGCATGCCTTGCATGCCAGAGGCCCTGGGTTCGATTCCTCAGCACCACATAAGCAAAAAGAAAAAAGCCGGAAGTGGTGCTGTGGCTCAAGTGGTAGAGCGCTAACCTTGAGCTGAAGAGCTGAGGCACAGGGCCCAAGCCCAGAGTTCAGGCCCCACGACTGGACCCAAAAAAAAAAAAAGTACCCCTATAAAACTTGGGCATTTTTTGCTATGATCTTCAAGTGTCCCTAGAGATCGAAATCATGATGGCAGCATGAATACTTTATCACTATTTTGAATCTTGCAATAATGAGAATTTTGGGGTTCATCACAGGAAGCCACCAAACTTCCCACAGGGACATTTAGCCTGCCTGAGCCCATTGTACTTATCACTCTGCTTCTGTTTGAGTCAAGCACATTTCCTGAAATTTCATATCGACTGTGTTCTGACTGTTTAGGGCAGGGAAGCCATAAACCAGACATGTGGCTTTTCTGTCACCCTCTCTCTTTGCCTGTAGACTGGCAGTGCAGCTGGGGCATGTAAGAGCTGCTGGTGTGACTCTGATGGATGGCCTACCTGGTAAAGCGCTTTCCTTGTGGGCCTGATACATCCCAACACTGAAGTGTTAGTTGTAACTGCATAAAGAAAGGGCCATAGGAGACACACAAGTTAGGTTTTACAGCTGTAGGTAGTTTAGATGGAATTTATTAAGTTCACCCAGCAGCCAGGAATACACAGAAGAGACCAACTGGAAATGAGAATGGAGAAGAGGCCAGCAAGATGGAAAGATGAACCCTGGGTACACCATGGTAACTAACAGCTGATACATCGAGAATCAGGCCCCGCCAAGGCAGGTTCTGAGCACCGGTGCTCACAGTACCATTGTCCAGGTTCTCGCTGCCTTCATAGCATCCGGAGTCTCGCGGGGAGCATCCACTCAGGCCCTGGCTATCCACAAGCAGCTTCTCTTGGGACCCGGACTGGTCACTGTTACCTGCAGAAAGTGAGCACACAGCACAGGATCACAAGGGGGAGGGAGACACAAACCAAGGCCACGAAGTCATCAGATCTGGGTTTTGATCTTCCATTACTGCACGGTTAGGCCTTGGGTTTTCAGAAGAGAACATATTATTTTAGAGTGAATACCATCAAAATGGGTTAGTGACATCAGAGGCTTTTTAAAAAATATACTGTCGATGTTATGGAAGTAAATTGGGAGGGAGAACACAAAGCCGAGTGCTCTGATTCCTTTCCAGTTATTCAGAGGTACACTGGAGGCTGAGTGGAGAGGAGGCATGCGGAGCGGGGTGTGGGCCGGGAAGGGGCCCCGTGCGGTGCTCATGCAGTGCCGGCATCATTGAGACAGAGCGGGTGAGGCAATGCCACTCTCATAAGCTGGAGTAAGTCACATGCTTCACAGAGACGGACTTCTAGTTACTGAAGTTACTGAAGTTGCCTCCACTCCAAATTTGGGAGCTGACGTAAAAATGCCAAATGAATATCACATTTTAATTTTTTTTTTTGGTTTGGTACTAGGTCCTGGGTCTTGAACTCAGGGCCTAGGCTCTGTCCCTGAGCTTTTCTGCTCAATGTTAGCACTCTACTACTTGAGCCACAGCTCCACTTCTGGCTGCTTTGGTGGTTGACTGGAGATAAGAGCCTCATGGACTTTCCTGCCTGGGTTGGCTTTGAACCACGATCCTCAGTTCTCAGCTTCCTACGTAGCTAGGATTTCAGGTCTGAGCCACCGGCACCCCTGGCTTGAAGTTTCGTATTTTATCATCAGTCTTAGTTCTTGGTGGCATAGGTGGGCTCTTTTATCGCCTAACCAAGAGGAAGGTGGGCCACAGCACACAGATCCCTGTGCTGACCAGGGGACAGCCAGCAGCAAGTCTCCTTCTGTTTGTGCTGTTTGGAATGAACTGGAGCGTTTCCTCTCTTGTGGGACTTGTCCCTCTGTTTCAGGCTAGCACTTCCAGTTCCTCTGCACAAAGCTGGGCCAGGGAAAGCTCAGGAGACCCTCCAACTTGCAAAGTGAGTAGCCGATGCTCATAAGCTGGATGACTTTAAGTGGGACACACCCTTCTGAGGAACTTCATGTAAGCAGAAGCATCATTCCTTGTCAGCTGGGGACAGCTGGACTTCCCCAAGCTGGGAGGGGTGGAGACTCAAGAGATGTTCCAGATGTGCCTGCGACAGGAGTCCACCTAGGGGACACCACGGGGGAAATCTTGTGGCCCTTCGGTCCCCAGCCGCCTCCCTCTGCCTGTTCTCTCCTGAGCACGTGGAACCCGCCGTGGGATGCCGTGGTTACACACCGGACATCTTCCCGTGATTATGCAGTGAAAGTGCTTGGTCATGTAAAATGGAAACCCAGCAAGCATTTCCTACTGAAAATAGCTGGTTGCAATGATGAACGGCTTGTCTTTTCTCTTCATCTCCAACACCAACCACATACACAAAGAAATTTCTTAAGAAAACATATCAGTAACCAGAATATGGTGTTTTTTTTCCTCAGGTCACCAAAATAAACCCTCAGGGAGGCTGAGCGCTGCCTTTCCAGCCTCGCCTTCCTTTTTCCCTTCCCACCTTCACTTCCCACAGGGAAAGCCTTCTGTGACAGATTCTGGCAAGAGGTCATAGCAGGATAAGATGTTACATTAGAACCCTGACTTTAGAGTGTTAATTATTGAATGAGGAAGGGAAACTTAACTGATTAGAAATTCATGAGCTGCTCCTTTCCCGCCCCCCACCGAAATCGGGAACATTCTACAGTGATGTCCTCATCGGGTCGAAGAGCCTGTGGATTTGGAGTAGCCTTTGTCCTAGTCCAGCATATTATTTAGGAAAATGATGCTTATAAATGAGGGCTTTGAGCTCTGTGCTACAACCCAAGAAAGGGAAGCAGTGTCGTTTGCCACAGTTCAGACAGAGTGGCTAAGCAGACTTCAGAGTGTTGATCGGCAGGAATAGGAAAAAACCTGTTCCCCACCACGGATACAGTCTGGCTCCCAACGACATCAAACCACAGTTCTTCTGCTGAAGCCATGATCATGTGGGAAGGAGCTAGAAGTCATTGTCTCCACCAGGGGAAAAGAGGTAGATGTCTTGCTGTAAGTACTGCAGAATCCATCCCATAACCTTTCTCCTACACTTCACTTGAAATTCAAGTTGATGCCAAAACAAGAAAGCAGATGAGCAAGAACCATGCAGGTCCTTGTAGTCAAAGAAGACCAAAGGATTGAAACTTCACATGAGTAGGTCCCGAAGGGATTGATGTGGGCTTTATAAAGCTCTTTCTCATCTCTACCCAAACACAGCCATGTCTGCATGAATGTGCGTGTACAGAGAAAGGGACATGCTAAGACACTGAGGAGTTGTGCCAGCACCAAAAATAGCTTAATGGATGTGCATTCTGCTGGAGAGGAGGTGCCTCAGAAAGAAAGGGGAGAAAACTGATTGTTAGGTAACCTCATTTCTTATGAAAATAAAGATGGAAGCAATATGGTACAATGTTGACTTCAGCTGAATTCAGGAAATGTATGTGCATGTATTTGTTTTCTTCTGTACATCATACTGCATGATTGAAAGGATTCCTCATTAAACTTCTTAGAAAGATTATTTACATTGAGCTGCGAAATAATGAAGGTGATAAACTTCCTGGTATACATATTTAGCCACAATTAAAAATTTTTTTAAAAAGGGGGGCAAGACCTGAAAGACTGTAAGAAAGAGCAATCTGACAATTAAGCCTTTTCCAAATGGAACTGGGCCTGGAGGCTCCGCCCCCTAGCAGCGGAAGACAATGACTTCTAAACAGTGCTTGCAATCAACATTTTGCTTTTGGAAGAAGTCTGAACCCTTCAAGATTTCTACAGGTCTTCAAAGACCTCATGATTGCTGTATCTGTCTAGTATATAGAAATTTAGTTCAACAGAAACCTATTGTGTTTCTCTAAGTTATTAACTACTTAGAATCTATCTCGTGTGTGTTGTGTGTGTATGTGGCAGAACTTGGGCTTAAACTCAGGGCCCAGGCTCTGTCCTTTGGCTTTTTTCACTCAAGGCTGGTACTCTACCACTTGAATCACAGCTCCACTTCCAACTTTTTTGTGGTTAATTGGAGGTAAGAGTCTTACAGACATTCCTACCTCAGCCTCTTGAGTAGCTAGGATTATAGGCATGAGCCTCAGTGCCTGGCTGGGAATATTTCTTAAATACAGTGAATTCCACTGCATCAGATGTGAACTCTTCTAACCCAAGGACAAGTCTGGAGTCAGTCTCTAGGCACGAATCAGTAGACATGAGGCTTGGAGCCTTAGGTTTAGGACCAGTAAGAGAAAAAGCTATGTTATATATCTGAGAAATTCTGAACAATGAAAATGTATAGATTCAAAATGGGATCTATGAAGAAGCAGCGTTCTCAGCCTTCCTAGTTAGTGTTTTAATGGATAAAGATTCCCTCCTCCTACAAAATGTCCCTGGCACAAAGACTATCCCACTATCTCTGTGTGATCCAAGGAAAATGGCTCTGGGCTACTGTGGCATGAAATGGATTAAATCCAAGTCCCAGGTTTATATTTAGGGTTTAGTTTTGTTCCTCCTATATTTAAATGACAAAGGAAATGTATGGATATGTGGATATAAACCAGATGGTTAGGGAAGAGCAGATGAGTTACATCATATAGCAGATGTGGTACAGGACAGATAATTTAATGCTAATTCCTATGAATACAGCTGATCAGTTCTATCAGCCACTGTCTAGGGTCTTTACACACATCTGTACATTCTTAGAACACTACAGAGCTCTGCTTAGAAAGTGATATTAGATATGAGACACAAACTCTCCAAATCTATTCCTGAAGGATGCCTATTCATCTGGGGTTTAGATCTCTTTGATGTTGTATACTTCCCTGTTACTAGCTAATTTAGATAATACACTCTTTAAACAGAAGTAAAATTAATGGCCTATGTGTTTCCAAGTCTCTTGGATCTCCGAAGGCCAGCACCCATGTTCCTCAGCTCACAAGAGGGTTCTAGAACCCCATAAGGATATTTTAAGGCAAATACGTACTCAACACACCCAACCTATTGAACATCCAAGCTTAGTAACACAGGGTACTGGAGAGTACCAGTGGTCATCCTGGGCTGACTGGGAGCAGGGACAGCCCAGCAATCACATAAAAAGATCAGACAGCATACTGTCTTTTCCAGGCCATGAGAAGATCAGGATGGAAATTGGAAGTAAAATTTCGTTTCTTTCACATCATTGGAAAGTCAAAGCCCTGTAAGTTTGAGACTATCAGTAACGTATAATTTTGTTTCCACCATTAACCATGGTTTGGCGTGTGTTTCTGCAATAGAAAGGCTATTAGAACTGATATTCCTGAAGCAGAACACTTGAAAGAAAATGAATTTCACTTCAATGGCTGCAAAGGGCTACTCCCTTCATGATGAGTAATTTCAGGGATAATTCTGATGTCAGATTGAAGACTAAAGAACAAGACAAGACTGGGTTAATGGAGCAACAGCTAGGATGCAGTGAAGTAGACTCCATAAAAGCCGGAAGCTCACTGAATTCTGCTCACAGGCTGTAAAAATAAGCTGTCATTTAGGCTGACAATTCTCTGCTCGGTATCTTCACTTCAGAGAGATTGCCTTCTTGAAAGGAAACTGATGAATTTTACTTCTTCAGTTACCACTCTCATTAATAAGAATACAACTCCTCACGTGTTTTGGTATATATTTAATCCTCAATGGACCAATGAAGTCCCAGATGGATGATCATTTTTGCGCTCAGGGATCCTAATGACTAAATACAGGACACATTGCAATAGTACCGCTGTGTTTTTCTTAAAAAAAAAAAAAAAAATTGCAATGGAATTCTCTCAGACTTCGGCGCTGCCTTCCATTTGTCTCCATGTGAACAGGAATGTCGCGCTAGGAAGCTGTTTAGTATAATTTGGAGCTGACCTTCACTTTAGAGAGAACAAGAGAGAATGAGTAACACTAGGGACCTAATCACATGATGGATAATAGCTTAGGGGAGAGGCCTGCGAGTGACCAAAGAATGTGGCTGATCTACCAACAACCGTTTCTGTGTGTGCGAGGACTTACTGTCATATTCCTGCAGTAGCTCCACCGCTGTCAAGAGAACGGCTCTGTGTTCTGGGTCCCTGATATTTAATTCATCCAAGTCTTCCTCCTCCAGGAGTTTGAAGGTATCCAGGTCCTCATACCCATTGAACAGGAAAGTAGGCATGTGTTCCTGTGGGAAACAGAAGGAAGACTGGAATGAGCTGGCAGCCCAGCCAACAAGCCTCAGATTCCTCAGCTCCTTCCCATTGCCATCTTCTGGCTAATCCAAAGACGAGTACCATTTGTAACCTATTCTGGGCCTCCCCATCCTCCAGCTTAGCAGACAGGCAGGGCACTTTATTCATCACCAGTTAAGATAGATAATTTTAGATGATGATGGATCCTACTTGCTGGCACTGAAACTGAATTAATAAATTAATTCCTTTCTCTCCATGTAGCCTAGAGCGAAGAAGATGAAATCCAACTTTGAAAGCCCCATAAAATTTTCAGGAGCAAGAAGATTTTGCAAAGAAAAAAAAAGCATAGAATCCTCGCTATAAGATTCTGGGAATTGGGCTAGGAAGGTGGTTCAATGATAGAGCGCTTGCCTTGCATGCAAGAGGCCCTGGGTTTGACTCCTCAGCAGCACATAAGCAGAAAAAAAGCCAGAAGTGGCACTGCAGCTCAAGTGGTAGAGAGCTAGCCTCCAGCTGAAGAGCTGAGGGACAGCGCCCAGGCCCAGAGTTCAGGCCCCACGATCGACCAAAAAAATAAGATTCTGGGAATCAAAATGAGAGAGAGGAAGGAGGAGGGATGAAGCCTTGTCGCCCCATGGAACTGTGGAGAAGCAGGGCACCTGGGTGTTTGTTCATGGGCCTACAAGGGGCACATTTGGATCTAGGGCTTATACCTTACTACCGTGCACAGCAGAGGTCAGGAGCAATGTTAAAACACTGATGATCACCCAGGCTGGGTGACAACAGATCAACCCCTACCCTAACACTGCCCTCTTGGGTTCAGTTTAGAGGGGAGGGAAGAGACAAGGAGGACACACAGGCGCAGAGAGTAAAATGCGACTGACTTTCAGGTTAATCCGATCCAGGAGATCCTCCACAGACTTGGGCTGGGGTGGTTTTCCTTTCCTCCTCCTCCTGGTGGGGCGCTTGGGTTTCTCCTCTTCCTCATTGAGCACATCCACATAGATGAACTTGAATGTGCCCACTTTGTTGTTCAACAGGCCCATCCAGGTGCCCATGGGCGGCTTGCTGATTATGTCAATGATGTCTCCTTTCTGTGGCCCAAAGAACAAAAGATCTTTCCAGTAGGGGCATTTCTAAGCATGAGTAGTACAATCAATCAGTCAGACATAGGTGGGAAAATGATGTGAGGCAAAATCACAAGTCACTTTTCCAAGTGACTGCTGCAGAATATGATGGAAAATTTGGCAGAGACCAGAGGAACATTTCTGACTGTGCTGTGGGCCGTGACCCACTCTCCCTCTTAGACTGCACAGCCGTGTGTGTGTGTGTGTGTGTGTGTGTGTGTGTGTGTGTGTGTGTGTGTGTGTGTGTGTGTGTGTGTGTGTGTGTGTGTGTGTGAAATCTCTGGTCTCAGGCAGGCTGCCTAGAGCTCCAGCTCTCAAAACATCTCCATTCTTCCATGGCCTGGGGAGGGGGAAGGGGTAAAGGTGGGGGGAAGGATCCTACTTCTGGGAGAATTAATTTCCCACGTTATCACAAGGCAGTGGCAAGCCCTGCCCAGTGACTACTTCATGCATTTGTGGGATCCCATATAACCTTACATCCCACCTAGATACCTCTGTTTCCATACCTTCCGCTTTCCCTGGAGAAAGCATCGAGCCTGGGGTATGTGGGACCATGGCAGGGCCAGCATTCAACAAGAGGGAATGAAGGGAGGAAAAAAGCAACCTTGGGCTCAGGTGCCCAAGGTCAAGCCTCTGGACCAGCACAAAAACCAGCAAACAAACAGAGACAAAAGGGTTGGTTGCCCTGAGGCCACTGAGACCCTCACCTTGAGCTTGAGTGAGTCCGTGTCGTAGGGGCTGGGGGTGAAGTCTGTGTGCACCCGGGCTCGTCCACAGAAAGGGCCTCTGTAGGGCAGCTCCTCATCGTCGCCATCCTCTGACTTGACACTCTCTCTGTTGCTGGTGGAGGAATCGGTGGTGCTCACTGTCTGACCACCTGGGCAAGAAAAATAGAAAGAAAGGTAAACACAGACTGCGCATGCAGCCAGCCTGGAAAGCACTGACAGTCCTGCAGACTAGGACATGAAGGCCCGGAGAAGGGGAGCTGTCAGCCAGCCACAAGCCAGTGTCAGACCAGAGCTGGGGCCAGGCATGAGCTCTCCCTCATCCCCAGTAGAGTTCCTAAAGAACAAGGGCGCATGGGCTGGGAAGGTGGCTCAGTGGTAAGAGTGCTTGCCTCGCGTGTGTGAGGCCCTGGGTTTGATTCCTCAGCACCACATAAGCAGAAAAGGCTGGAAGTGGCGCTGTGGCTCAAGTGGTAGGGTGCTAGACTTGAGCTGAAGAGCTGAGGGACAGCATCTGGGCCCAGAGTTCAAGCCCATGACTGACAAAAAAAAAATAAAAAAGAGAACAAGGGCTCGGCACGTTCTTCTTGTGATCAGGGCATCCATGGCATGGCAAGAGTCCAGGCAAAAGGCAAGGCAGGACTCTGCTCGTCAAAATCTTTGCTTTTTTTGTGTGTATTTGTTCATTTTGGTGCCAGTACTAGGGGCACCTGGATAGGCCTGTTGAACAACAAAGTGGGCACATTCAAGTTCATCCATGTGGATGTGCTCAATGAGGAAGAGGAGAAACCCAAGCGCCCCACCAGGAGGAGGAGGAAAGGAAAACTACCCCAGCCCAAGTCTGTGGAGGATCTCCTGGATCAGATTAACCTGAAAGTCAGTCGCATTTTACTCTCTGCGCATGTGTGTCCTCCTTGTCTCTTCCTTCCCCTCTAAACTGAACCCAAGAGGGCAGTGTTAGGGTAGGGGTTGATCTGTTGTCACCCAGCCTGGGTGATCATCAGTGTTTTAACATTGCTCCTGACCTCTGCTGTGCACGGTAGTAAGGTATAAGCCCTAGATCCAAATGTGCCCCTCCCATGAACAAGCACCCAGGTGCCCTGCTTCTGCCCCAGTTCCATGGGGCGACAAGGCTTCATCCCTCCTCCTTCCTCTCTCTCATTTTGATTCCCAGAATCTTATTTTTTTGGTCGGTCATGGGGCCTGAACTCTGGGCCTGGGCGCTGTCCCTCAGCTCTTCAGCTGAAGGCCATCTAAAGACTATTTGCTACTGCAACGTTTGTAATTATCTCCCCCTTTCCCAACCCCCTTTATCTTGCTGGCCATATTCTTGCACTTTCTCCCATTGCTTTACCCTCCTATAGTCTCTAGATCCTTCCACTGAGATATATTTTCTGTCTTCTGCAATCAAAGTGAATCTCCCTTCTTGTGAGGCACTGCTTCAAATCTACCAAACAAACATGACAAATCTGGCTCTGTAATTGCATCCTGAGAACAAAGAATTCACCTTACTCATCTTTAACTTGCTTGAGCTTGTTCCTCAAGAAATATCAGACTTGAACTCCAAAGGAAATCATCTCCAATTACAAAGTATACTTACTCATGGAGCTCTGCCCACTCAGGGAGCTCCGAAGGCTTTCTACCGATCCTCCAGCTTTGAGCTTGGGTTTGTCCACATGTTCTGAGTCTGGCTTTGCTGAGGCAGGGGATCCAGGCATCCCATCCAGGCCAGAGTCCTGAAATAGTTTCAATAGAACTAAGTTGCATAAGTGAATGGAGACATGTTGTAACTGTTAGCAATTTGGTCCTCAGTGGCAGCAATCAAATCGGCCTTTATATCCATACCTGTTGCTATGACTATTGTCTATACCTTTTTAATTATTTTTTTTTTTTGGCCCATCCTGGGGCTTGAACTCAAGGCCTAAGAACTGTCCCTGAACTTCTTTTGCTCAAGGCTAGCGCTCTACCACTTGAGCTACCACACCACTTCTGGCTTTTTCTGTTTAGGTGGTACTGAGGGCTTCATACATGCTAGGCAAGCACTCTACCACTAAGCCACATTCCAACCCAAGTCTCCTTTTTAACCATATCCTTCCTAAACTAGAAATTTGTGACCCATGGTCACACTTAAAATGTATTTTCAGGCTTGACATCAGTGACTCACACCTGTAATCCTAGATATTCAGGCTGAGATCTGAGGATCACGGGCTCATAGTTTGAAGCCAACCTGGGTAGCGAAGTCTTATCTTCAGTTAAATACCAAAAAGGTAGATGTTCAGCTGTGGCTCCAGAGATAGAATACTAGCCTGAGTGGGGGAGGGGGGATTCAGAGACAACACCCAGGCTCTGAGTTCAAGCCTCAGGACTGGTGCATGCATACGCATACACACACACACACACACACACAATTAATTTTAAGAGCCAAGTGCTGTTGGCTCATACCTATAATCCTAGTGGCTCAGGAGGCTGAGATCTGAGGCTCAAGTTTGAAACCAGCCCAAGGCTGAAAAGTCCATAGCTTCTTATTTTCAATTAACTAGCAAAAAAAAAAAAAAAAAAAAAAAAAATCTAAAAGTGGAGCTATGCTCCAGTTGTAGAGTGCCTGCCTTGAATGAAAAATGAAAAAGCTAAATTATAGTCCAGGGCCCTGAGTTCAAGGCCCAATATATAGGCCCATACACAAACACATATACAAATTACTTTTCATTATATATAAATAGATATATAGACATATATATGTATATTTCTCTCATATCTTGAAAATGTTTCAGGGGAAAAAAAGTCTCTCTGCCACAGGACAGAATAATTAGCCAAATCTTTTAAGGACTGTAAGCAAACTCAACAGCTCAGTAATTAGCTAGACTCCAAAGGCAGGTCAACTATAATCTACTATTAATGACTATTAATATAGTATTTGAAAATACTATCAGAGAATATTTCATTTCATATTAAAAAAAACATTTTTTTAAATAAAGTATACTCCTTCTAAAACAATTGGCCCGATTTTCATGCTTCTCCATATATAAGGTACTGAAATTGGCTAAACAGTCTATAACTCTGCAAAGTCATTCCACTCCTATAGTGAGAACCACTGGCATAAAATCAAGATACTTTGTTCAAATGCAAGTGCACGTGTGGGGCTGGCCAAGTTGGTGGCTCAAACAGGAAGAGGCCTGGTGTTTAGCCTGCCACCACTAGGGGGCAGCAGCTGAGCAATGAAATGCCTATGTTCCCCCCTGCTTCCAAAAGGAAGCTGAAGAGACATTCCCCACATATTTCAAGCAGAACCAACTCATCCATCATGCTTTAACAGGCTGCAACACGAGTACCATGAAGGTGCCAGGAGAGAGGGTTTTGAAATCCAGCGGTCAAGATTAACCTCAAAGCCTTCCCTGGTGTTTTTATTCCTTCTATTCATACAACTGAGACAGAAATTAGTCATGTTCATAGCGATTATTTTTTTTTAATAGACTTGGGATGTGGGGGTCGGATCAATACTGCTACTGTGATAGGGAATTGTTAGCAATAGCTGTATCCATGGAGACCTAATGACTGCAGAAGTCCAGGAGCCAGGAAGCATTTGCTGAATTTCCTCCTCAGACTTGCACTGTGCTTCTCACTACCTCTGACATGGTTGGATCTGGTGATAGACATTTTGTACCAATGGTATTTTAGGAGAGAAAAATCTCCCTTTGGTATTCCAATGGACATAGAGACTACAATCTCTAGTGCCTACTTCACCAAGGAGGACTCATTTCTTCAGGTGGCCCCCTTGGCCTCTGTCTGAATATAGAAGGCAGGGCCTAGTTTTGGATGTCTAGCACCAGCCATAGGTGCATGCATAACCTTAAGTAGAAGCAAATGTTTATATAAGCAAAGCAAGGGTGAGAGTCTGAGGACTAAGCGTTATTCAAAATCTCAGATGGGGCAGCCGTGGTCGCCCTGCTGGCAGACACCGGGGTTTTAGCTAGGACGGTGCGCACCATACCTGCTCAGAGACAGAGCTGCTGCTGTATTTTTTGGACATTCTCTTCCTCATGGTCTCTTTCACCGATTTCACTTTTTTCCCAAGAGAAATACGGGAGGCAGTGGGTGACTTGATTACTTCTTTGTACACAAAATCTCCTTCTTTCCCCTGGGAAGCAAAATATTGTAAATACACCTTTAGTTACGGAAAATGAGGCCAAGAAACAGACTTCATTATCCAAACCATTAATGTCCCAACTCTCAGGAAAATATTAGCATTCTCCACATGTTCACATTTTTCTCATGTTAACTCAATGCAATTACCTTTTCTTTTTCTTTTTTCTTTTTTTTTGTGGCAGTACTGGATTTTGAACTGAAGACCTTTTGCTCTATCCCATGAATTATGCCTTTTATTGCTTTATTTTTTTATATAGGTCTCAAGATTTTTTGCCCAGGATTGACCTTGGATTGTGATCTTCCTACCTAGCTCAGATGCTTGTATCTAACAGGCATGCAGTTGGCTTATTGGTTGTTGTGAGATCTGGCTAACATTTTGCCCAGTCTAGCCTTGAACTTCCAGACTTCCGATCTTCACCCTGCTAAAGTAGCTGAGATTATAGGCATATACCACCATGCCCGCTCATTCCTATTTATCTTTTTGATTGGAAGTTAAAACCTACTAAGAAGATTTTGTTTGTAGTGAGACATGAGTCACTTTTAATTTTATTTAATCTTGGTATATTCCCCACCATGTGAAGCACACAAGACGACTGCATTTTATCAGCAAAGAGCACACTGCATGAATCCCAGTAGTGATGAGATACCACTTCTGAATCACCCTCAGAAAAGCACTAAGCACTCATGGTAGAGGCTTAGGCATAGAAGAATAAGAATCTGGCTTGTTTTTATCAGAGCTCTACTCGACATGGTCAATTCCTAAGAGCATATCAGTTTCCTTTCCCGAAAGAACTACATTGCTGTGGCCATCTCTCTATTTTTTTTCTTTAAATTAAAAACCAAACTTTCCCCTGAGGAAGAGGGGAAAAAAATATTCTTTTTTTTAAAGACTGACTGCATAAAATTATTGGTTTATGAATCAATAAAATTTGATATCCAAATAAAACAGTTTAAATCTTCCAGGAAATTCTGTAACACTTCATATCTCAGATGGGTATTTTAGCTGACACATGATCATAAAGACTATAAAGCATGAAATGTTCATTTTACAGTTTCATGGCAAAATATATAAAGGACATACCCTAAAAAACCACCTATAAGTTGGGCACTGGTGGCTCATGCCTGTAATCCTAGCTACTCAGGAGGCTGAGATCTGAGGCTGACAGTTTTAAGTCAGCTCAGGGAAGAAAAGTCTGTGGGACTCTTATTTCCAAGTAACCATAAAGAAGCTAGAAGTAGAGGAGGGGCTCAAGTGGTAGAGTGCTAGCCTTAAACAAAAAAGCTAAGCGAGAGTTCAAAGACCTGAGTTCAAGCCCTAGTACAGACATACATGTGCACATGTGTGTATATATGGGGGATATAACATATAAACTGAGGAACTGAACTTCAAGGAACAAACTAAGACCCCGAAGTAGGTCTGAGAGAGGTGACAACCTTGGCCCCTGGGGTCTGGTTGGCTGTCACACTAGTTAGGCTGGGCTTACTCCTTGACATATCCCATCAGAAAGACCTACACTTAAGCCTTGGGGATGGGAAGGCATGCACTGGGCCCCAAATAAGACTGGTCATTAGACATGTGGTTTCCAAACCACAGGGCCCCACTGGGCCCCACGACATATGCAGTAGTTACGTGAGGTGAAGAAAGGTTCGTGGACACCAATGACTTTTACTGAAACCAAACTCATCTGGGTGAAGAACCCTGGAGGTAAAGGCATGAAGGAACTGTGCTGCTTCAGGAGAGGGAGGCCGGAGGGGTCATCAGAGGCCTTTTCATATGAAACAATGGAACATCTTTAAGTGGGTGCAGCGGAGGCTGGGCATGGCATCTCTGTAACCACAGATACTCAGAATGTGAGGTTAGGAAATGGAGGTCAGGCCAAGCAAAACTTAGCAAGACCCTATCATAATCAACAAAGTTAGGATTGGTAATGCACAACCATCTTCCCCACTACTTGGAAGGCCATAAGTAGGTCATGGTTTGAAATGAGCCTTGGGCAAAAACAAGAGACCCTATCTGAAAGAAAACGAAACCTCGTGAAAAACTAAGAGTTAAAAAAAAGGGGAGGGGGTATTTAAATTGTAAAGTGTCAGTCTAGCAAGTATGAAGATCCCAAGTTCAATTTCTAGTTCTCAAAAACAATAATAATAATAAGCAATACAACTCTTTTCCAAAAGTGACTTGAGCGACATGGACATCTATTGTGATCTGTCATGGTTCAAATCCCAACCAACTGCTTCCCTCCAGCATCTACTCACCATCGGATTGGAGCTATTCATGCCTATATGCAGGGAACGATTTGTCAAGTCAAATCCCCCAAAACTGCAGGTTCTCTGTGGAAAGGAGAGGACAGGACAGGAAGTTACACTCCAGTTCTGCCTACCAGACACACCCCCAACACCCTTCCCTTCCACCGGACATCGCTCAATCACCAAAATGTGAACGGGATGAAAAAAGGCAACGAGAAATGATGAGAAAGAACACATAAGTCATGTCATCAGGCAACTCCGCTGATCCTGTGCTTTAAGGAATTAGCCTATCACCTACGACAGGTGTCTCAAATCCAGAGACAGCTGTTCTTGAATAGACACACAACCCAAAATCCCTCCCCCGACTCAGGGCTGTAAGACTCCTTGTCTCCTAGCACAGACTGCAGCAGTCACAGACAGCAGTCACAATCAATGGGCATTGCTCAGTGGTTTTTCTGGTGGTTGTTCGTTTGTTTTTGTGCTTGTGCTAGAGCTTGAACTCAGGGCCTGGGCACTGTCCCTTAACTTTTTTATACAAGGCTGGTTCTCTGCCACTTGAGCTGACTTTTTGGAAGTCTACTGGAGATCAGTCTCATAGACTTTCCTTCCCAGGCTGGCTTCAAACCTTGATCCTCAAATCTCGGCCTTCTGAGTAGCTGAGATTATCGGCGTGAGCCACTGGCATCCAGCCTCACTCAGTGGTCTTGAGAACTCAGTCCTTCTGAGTCCTGTGCTCAGCCACTGACAGCAGGCTTTTCTAAGAGACTTTTGTTTGGTTTAGTTAAAATGGCTGGGACAGGAGGAAAGTTCTGTTTATAGCAGTCCAATCAGGTCAAGATTACTCACTAACTACTTCTCCATCAGAGCCAAAAATGCTGATAACTTTCCCATGTCACTGTCCAATTAAATTAATTATAACTCTTTTTTCTCAGAGGATGAAGATACCACATTTGCGGGGGGGGGGGGGGGGGGGGGGCGGAGAAGCTGCCTTTGATCACTCATTTTAACAGAAAAAAATGAAGATATTATTCAAATGAAAGCTCTGTTGTCCTCTTGATTGGTTTCAAACCTGATGGAACTGCTTCTATTTCTTTCATTTTTTGGTATTTCTAGAACTGAGATCAAGTTTCTTTTGCTTATCCAGCAAAAGCCACTTACTGACCACTGCTGCCTACAACCACCCTCCACTCCCCTCCCCCGCCTCTCAGGCACACTTTTTTTCTTCCTTTCTTGTAAATAATGTTCTATTTAACGCAATTACTAATACAAGCTGAGCAGCAGATTTTGGCACCAACATTTTGGATCACATAGTTCCCAGAGAACTCCAGTTCATAGTTATTAAATCAAAGAAAGGAGCAGAAAAATGTATACTATACAATGTATACTATAAACACTGCTTATTTGAAATAAATCTACTTCTGACATATATTAATTTACTGCAATGAGAAAGTAGAAGCAACCTGCAGGGAGATTAACTAGGCTCCTGAAAGAGGACACAGACAGAGCCAAGTTGTGTCACTTCCTAATTCAAATGCTAAACCTCTTTGAACCTCATAGTCTGTAGTGAAATGGCATTGACATATTATATTTGAAGACCCCTAGTACAGTGCCTGGCATAAAGAAACACTCACTGGGTACTGGTTTCTTATGTAACTTATGATTATGCTGAAAACCTGATAGCTCATGCTGCTGATCTTCATGTGTAGGTTTAGTCAAAGTTATAAATATGCAAGCGAAGGGGTGGAGTTCCATTCCAGGCTTTGCAACTTGGGAGGTCAACTGCAGAACCCAGAGCATCCTTAGAAGAGGACACAGTGGGAAAGGTTGGGTACACCCCCGCTTAGAAGGCTTCAAAGCTGTCCCTTACCAGCAGGCTGCTTCTGTTTTAAGTAATGTACGGCTTGCCAGTGGATACAACCCCAACTTGATATTCAATATCAACATCTAATTTCTTTTCATCTAGCTTCAACTTAATTTGTTGTAGGTCTAATCCATACAAAGAGAAGAATGTCTGTAAAAAATTTAACATTAGCTTTCCCTTTCTAACATTCAATGCCAAATGCGTTTTGGGAGTTTTGCAACGCCAATGACTTTGTTCTAGTTCCTTTCGGGTGACTCAGGGCTTTGCAGACATGGTATGGCACCCAGATGTCTTGTTACTTTATGTTTTTTACATGTCCTGCGTTAAACAGCCTCTCCTGCAACACAGCACATTATTTCTGAAACATATGAAATAACCGACAAAGAATTTATGTGGAAACTGTGACTGCTATAAATTAGAAGCTTGTTTAAGTTTTCATATGCCTGTTGTGTGCATTTATGCCTAAAATAAAGAGCATTAAGAAAGGGCTGTCTTCTAGTGATGGGTTAAGATTATCTGGAAATGATTCCTCTTTATCAATGGAGACTCAACAAAAAATTGAACAATCAACAGTTCTTGAATGAATCCTCAGTTTCTTCTAATAAGATCAAATATTTCTCCAAGTAGCATTCCTTCTGAGGGAAAAAATTATAACTAAAAATATTAAAAGAAAAATAAAAGTCTTTGATGTAGGTGATCTACACAAATGAAGCATAAGTGAATTCTTTTTTTTTTTTAGTTCATATATCTTTTGCACAAGTAACTCTAAATACATTTCAGATAGATTGTAGAGATGAGTCGAGCTGGTCGATGAGATGATCATGCAGTTGTAAACATGTTTTGGGGAAGCGTTGAATTTAAAAATGGACAAAATTTCAAATGTCATGCATGTCTGTTCTTCCAAACAAAAATTGAATGATCAAATAAAAGGCAAGACACATGACCATTTCCAGTGAATACAAAGCGTTATCATTTCTCTGGAGTTTCGTCAAGCAAAACATGGCATTTTTCAAAGACAAAAAGATCAAGGTTAAGATGAAAGGAAATTGTGCATACTAGGGGAGGGAGTAAAAGAAAGGAAATATAGAACAAGAAGAATGGATAAGAATTCTCAAAGACACAGAGTTATATGGTTTAAGTCTTGGCAGAAACAAAGCTGTAGAGCTGGGTATGTGGCTCAGTGGTAGGGCATCTGCTTATCACACATGGGCCCCAGGTTCAATCAAAAAATTCTATCATTAAAAACATGTTTTCTCATATATTCTCTGGAAAAATCAAAAAATTCAATTTTGTTTTCCTCATTATATAACTTTACTTACAAGACCTGCTATATGCCAATTTCTAATCTTAGCAGGAATTATAACTGTCCAGGACAGACTCTCTTACATATTAAAAATACTCAGTTCAGGCTGATTCTTGCTTTAGACATTAAATAATGTCATTTTTAGCAAATGGGACTTAGTACTTAGGGACAATGTGGCCCAGATGTTCATTTAACATTGGCCCACAATGTTAATTCATAAAAACTTCAGAATCATTACTTCTTGAATAATGGTCCTGATGAGTCCATATTATTTATCTAGTAATAAATAACATGAGAGGCACAGGAGCAATTGAAGGCACTCCAACTGGGTAAATTCTCCATATTCCACGATTTAAACTCAGAGTCATCAATGAACATGAAAGTGGCCATGTTCTGTCCAGGACATGGACAGAAAAGGTACAAGGTGGATGAACTGGGCACAGCACTTCTGTAAGTTAAAGAAAAAAAAGCATTGACACTGGCCTTTTACAGAACACATATGGATCAGAGCAGGCTGAAGGAGTGACAAAGAGATTTCTCTTATTTCAAAACCAAACCAAACCCAGCAAGAACTACTGCCACAATGCAGAAAGAGCCAGGAGAAAAGTTTTTGTGACAGATGAATAGCATTCAAAGTGCTACAAGAACCACAGGAATGTGAGAAGATAGAAAATAAGATCCACAAAGAAAGTCCATTCGTGGGAGAGTATTTAGAAATCCCCAGAGGTAGGAAGGATGCACGGATCCTTTCAGTACAGAGAAGATCATTCTAAGGATGGCATTGACCAATCAGTTTTCTCTTTCACAAAAGCAGGACTGGATTGAATGAATTTAAATTACAGTAATAGTCTGGGGAAGAACATCCTATTCATGAGCGTGAAGGAGGCCTGGGAAAAGCCAGTATGGAAGCGGATTCTTCTAAAGGTTCTTTCAGACCTTTCAAAGGGGCTCCCGGCCAGCAGCCCCGGGTGGACGAAACAAGGTGCCAGGAGGGCCCTGCCAGGTCCTCTGTGCCATTTTACAGGGGCTGTTGTGCAAGCTAAGCGTTAGGTGGGCATTCCAAGGAGAAAATGATCTGTATTCTAAAGCTGGCCATTTGCATGCCCTGAACAGAAATCTCACTAGTTCTCTCTGATCCTCCACTAAAATGGAAGAACACTTTATTATGTGAAAGTGAGGACATTGTTCCTTGCTATGCATGGAACCAAATGCTTACAAAAATGAGAGCACTAAACTCACTGAAGTAAAACCAAAGAGCTCTAATTCACCTCTTCCCTGTTAAGACTTTGGAACTTTCTGCTTGCCTCTCCCAGATTTGAAGTTTCCAATCACTTACTGGTTACTGGTGATGGTAGACTCTGTGAGCTCGCTCCTATTGTTTTAATTAACTGAAAGAGTAAAGCAATTCTTTTTAAGGGCAAAATGTCCTAGTGTTTTGAATCAGTTTCTAATTGAGGTCAAGTGATGAGATGTCTGGGCATCAGGACAGCCCCGCCCAGGAGGGGGCCGAGCCCCAGGCTGCACCCTGGAAGGCCCTGGCCCTGGATTGGCCTCAAGGCTCAGTTTGAATAAAAAGTCGAACTTGGTTCAACCGATCAGGATGGAAAAGGAAGAGAAAGACACTTCGAAAGGAAGTAATGGTTAGAGATCAGGGGAGAGTGTCAAGATGGAGGAGGAGAAAGCTGACACGGAAAGAAATGGGTTAGAAACCAGAGGTAATGGTCAAAGAGGAAGAGGGAGGAGAAAGCCAAAAGCATGGCAAGTGGGTTAGAGATGGGAGGTGATGGTCAAGGAGAACTCCAACAATAAAGGAAGAAGGCTGGAGACCAGAGATGATGGTCAAGATGGAGAAGGAGGAAGCCAAAACTAAAGGGAAGAAGGTTTGGAGCCCAGAGGTGGTGGTCAAGACGGAGAGGGAGGAGAGGCTGAGGAGGGGGAGGAGAGGGCCGGGGGAGGGCGCCATGCTTGACTGCACGCCACAGAAACGACAAGGCGCGGTGGCGGTCCCGCAGACTCACGGACTTCTGGTGGATCCGCAAGAGGACCCTTTTAGTGCAGCGGTCCACGGTGGCCGCCCACTTCCGCTGCGCCTCCTGGTCGTCGTCCAGCAGGCAGCGGCGCAGGTCCTGCTGGTCGGCCTTGCGCAGGGTGCGGTCGGCGCCGGGGCGCACCAGCTGCGTCAGGTTCAGGTGGCTGTAGAGGCTGCGCTCCACCACGTAGGTGATGTTGAACTCGCTGACGGCGGAGGCGGCGGCCGAGGCTGCGCGCCCGCGGCCCCGCCGCCCGCCGGCGCCCCCGGGCGGCTTGGGCTTGGGCCGGGGCAGCGGCAGATCCGCGCCGCCCGTGGCGCTGCCGCCGCCGCCGCCATACGCGCCGCCTTTGCGGGCCGGGCGCGGGCAGGGGCAGGGGCGCGAGCAGGAGGAGCTGGCGTCCGTCTTCTTCCAGCGGATCTGCCTGCGGACGCTCTGCACCTCCTCCAGGGACACCAGAAAGCGGTGCCGGCGCCGGTGGTGCTGGTGGTGGTGGTGCTGGTGGTGGTGGTGCTGCTGGTGGTCATAGAGGAGGACGCCATCCGTACTTACCCCGTGGCTCAGCGAGCCCAGCCCCTTCTTCATCTCCCCGTCCGTCAGCGAGCGGGACACCTTCTGGGGCTTCTCTTCCTCCGGGTAGGAGAAGAAGGTCCCCATCTTCTTGGGGGGTTTGATCAGGCCCCGGCTCTCTCCTTTGCTGAAGGTTTTGACCAACTTCCGGCCGGCGCCCCAACCGCCCTCCAGGCTGCCCGGGGAAGGAGCCGTGGCCGGGGCGCACTCCGAGTCCTCTTCGGCGGGGTTTTCTGGGGCGCCATCGAAGAAAAACGGCTTCTTGTGCACTCCAGAGTAAAGGGCGGATCGCTCGTCCAGGGCCGGGGGGCTCTCAAACACGTGCTCGTCCCCACCTGGAGGGAACACAACACGGATCCCTCTGTGAGAACTGACACGTGTGCAGTCGCAAACCAACGCCAGTGCTGCGGGGTACCAGTACCTAGCTCCTGCCTGTCATCTTAGCTACTTGTGGGTGGCTGAGATCTGAGGATCCGAGTTTGAAGTCAGCTGAGAAATCTGGAGAGTCTTATCTCCCATTAACCAGCAACAAGCTGGACTGGAGGTGTGATTCGAATGGAAAAAGAGAACACAAGGCTCTGAGTTCAAGACCCAGTACTAGCTCCAAATACAAGACAAAAACAAAAACCCAACAAACACACACACACACAGTGTTCCCCCTCCCTGCCCTCATTACGATTCTCTTCATAAACACAGTACCCGCTAAAACATGGCTATCACAAGAAACATCAAACTATTACAAGTTTGTGGTCTCATACAAGCTTAATGTTAAAAAGCTGTGATGTGTTTGTTTCCCCATTAAACATCTCTGTAGACCAAACATCTTCGCAGGCCTATTATTTAAAAAAAAAAAAGCAGCCATTTGCAAAGTCAAAGCCAATCATTATCACCGTAGGCCTCTGCGTGGCAAGGTAATTGTCTCCCCAGTTTGTAAGTACAAACCTCAGAAACCTGGAATCAGCCTTTCCCCTTTGGAAAGGCCCAGCTTTCTGCTGACTCTGATGGCTTTTTATAGTCAGGGTGTGATGAATGTCATCTGGGTGTCAGGGATCTTTTTTTTTTTTTAATTTTTATTGGTACATATGCTATTTAAGTGATTAAATCTCCATGACAACTTGGGTGGGGAAAACACCATCAAGAGTTATTCTTGCAAATGTGATTGACAAATGGTCTCCCGGTTGACAGGCTAAATACAGCCAGTTCAGAGATATCCCCCATCCACTTGGGTTCTGGTGGAAGCAGCAAGGGCGTTTAAGGGCCTGGACACGCAAGCAGTTGGAGTGTTTCACTTGAAGCCGGCCCTGGAGCCAGGTAGTGAGCCAAGCCCTCCAGAACCCAGTGGAAAAGCCTGGACCCGCTGGCAGGAAATCGGAGTTCTTTTCTGTGTGTGTTATGTGAACAGATGTAGAGGAGAAGTAGGTCAGGCTGTGGGTGTAGCAATCCCAGCTGGCTGCGTGTCCTTAATTATAAGGAAACTTTGGAGCTTTGCAGCTTTCCACCAGCTGAATCGTGAAGAGGGAAAAAATACAAAGTTCCTTGGAACAGAAGCACACTATTAACTATATCTGGAGAAGGGGGCTGGTGTGGGGGGAATGTCAGAGAAAAGGAAAGGGAGGCTCAACCCAAGAGGAGGGGAGGCGATTGGAATTGTCTTGAAGTTTTTAAGTTGGTTACTTTTTCTAACGGGTGGGAATTAGAGGTTAAAAAAAAAAAGCAACAGAGAAAAACAAACCACTGGTATGAACTTCAACCCAAGATTATTAACTTCATATTCATCCAGGAGATAGCGGGAGGGCAGGGCGGGAAGAAGCAAAGGCAGGCAAAGCTATATCCCGTCCAAAGTTCACTGCAGAACTTCCGAGGGATCTTTTTGGAGAGCTTAGAAACAGGGTGCAAGGATCTCACAAAGCTGAGCACCAGTAGTTCATGCTTGTATTCCTAACTCAGGAGAATGAGAGCTGAAGATCCTGATTCGAAGTAGGCATGGGCAGGAAAGTCCATGAGACTCTTATCTCCAATTAGCCACCCAAAAAGCCAGGGTATGGCTCATGTGGTAGAGTGCTAGCCTTGTGTGAAAAAAAAGCCAAAGGGAGAGCAAGAGGCCTCAAGTTCAAGCCCCAGTACTGACACACAAAAAGGCTTGGGGAGGGTGGCCCGGACCTGTAGCAGTATGTAATTATCCTGGAGCCTAATCTTGCTCCTTACTCAAGACAAACACCTGGCTAACAGGCATGGAGACCAAGAGTCTTCATGTAGTTAGACATGAAAATGCACATCCTTCTCCAGAGAGGACATATTCTACTTCCAGGAAGGAGGGACTGGGCCAAGACTTAAGGCGCAGCCCAGTGGCAGAGGCCTGCCGCCAGACAGGCACCTTCGTGGTTTTTGTGAAGCCCAGGTGCTCTGGGGATATGCGAGCCCTTGCTTCTCAAAGACATGTCACTGCACAGTGGTCTGGACATCTGGACTGAGTTTGAGGCTGTCACCAGTGATTGCATACCTCTCGGCTCACATCTGGGTCTGGAACCAGCCAGGGCACACATGTCCGTGCCATATGCAGGCCAATTCTCTGCAGCTGGGAAGGCGGAGTTGGGAGGAAAAGGTGGAAAATGCCCATGGAAAGATGGCGATGGCACTGGCCATGCCTATGCCAGCCATGCCCATGGTGGTCTTTGCTGCCAGTGCTGGCCAGTGGCCTGAAATGCCAGCCCTGACTGACCTGGACTTCTCAGGGCTTAGAGCATTACTTCTCTATCCTCCTCTGCCCAAAATGGACGACGAAGTTCCTGGAGGAAAGACAGCGAGATAAACTCCCTCCCTCCCATGTTGTAAGCTTTGTTTCACAGGATGGCCTTTGCCTACCTTATGTGGCTGAGATCAGATGCTCAAAAGAAAGGTAATTCTGAGCAGAGATGGCAACTTACTGGTTTATATCAGCCCTGGATTCCAGCTGTAGCTCTGCCTTCACCAGACCTAGGGCCCTGGGCATTTACTACTCTCCCCGAGTCTCTTCTGTAATAATGCCTCCCTATCTTTACCTCAGAGTCCAACAAGGCAACCCTTAGGGTCATATTTCGTGAAGAGACATGTGGAGGTACCGTACGACCTGAAAACCCTCTCACAGAAACTGGTGATTTGTAATGGGGTTAGAAAAGCTGGTGCATTGGGGATGGGGAGCCATTTCTAAGGATAAAGGGCAGAAACAGGCCGAGGAAGGGCAAGGAGCAGGCTGTGTTAAATACTGCACAGGGCCATCTAGTAGGAAGATGGATTTGAAACCTAAAGTTAAGTTAAAGAGGGTGAGACTGGATGCAGAGCACTTAACAGTGCAGGCGTAGGATGCCCTAGACGAAGGAATTACAGCGCTAGGACTGAACTCCAGTTGGCAGGCTGGGTGACTCCAAGTAAGTTATTTCGCTTCCTTGTGTCCCGATTTCCTTGTTTGGGAAAGGAAGGATGAGTAAGTGGCTATCTCTGGTGGGTATTTTAGGGATGATATACTTCAAAGGAATATAAATTCTAAAAATGTTTAGAGACATTCCGGCACATAGGATGCTCTCCCTAAATGATGATTATTGACCCAAGCATGCAAGAGGTCAGAGACAGGGTTAAATCTCTGTGAGCCCAAGCATGTGGAAGAGACGATCCTGATGACCAATGCAGTCTCTCCTGTGTACCTGTTCTTTCCCCAGTAAGGGACTTTGCAGAGTTCTATTGCCAGAGCTGGTTGGCATGTGGGTGGGGCCGGTGGGGGACAGCCCAGAGCAGATGCCCTGAGCTGCACACACATCTGGTCTCTCTCCCGGTAAGCTGGTCCAGTTAGTCAGTGGAACCTTGCTCCTCAGATAATGGAGTGTGACTTGAACCTCATATTTACTCAGTCCTTCTCCCATCTGTAACATCTAACTCATCCTCAGAAGAAATCAGAGCTACAAGTCCATATGGCAATTGCTTGTGACCTTTTGCAGTACCTCATTTGGTACATGGATTTCTTGTATTCAGCTAGGTCTCTCAGGGATAGTTGAGTGATATACTCTATCTTTAAAAGGCTACCCTGGTGCACAAACTACCCTGAGACACCTGAGGTCTTTGCTTGTGAAGGGAATGGCTGGGTAAGTTGGTCCTTCACCTGCTTTCTCTCATTTATGGCTAAGACACCACGAATCCGTTTGTAATAGCTGGGCTTTGGTTTTAACATATTGAGTGTGAGCTGTGTTCTAGAGGATTGATGTTAGAAATCCCCAACAGCAGCACCTTGGCCCTCTAGGTGGGAGGCAATCACAGTATATTCTGCACCATGGACAACCTGGCTGATAGGCAGATGTGAACACACCCAAAAGTAGAGGGAAAAGCTGGGAGAGAGCGAGGGAAGGGCTGACATTGTCCAAAAAGAAATGTACTCTTTACCTCACTTACATAACTGTACCCTTCTATACATCATCTTTATAATAACAGTTTTTATAAAAAAAACAACTCAAAAGTAAAATCAACACTGCTCTCAAATGAAAACAGAATTGCCATGCCAAATGATACTCAAATGCAACCAGAAGATCAAAAATAATCTCAAGTTTATAAACTTGGCCAGAAGGTGATCTTTCTTATCAACTCCCTTCTCTCCTTCCCTTCCCTTTTTCTCCTTCCTTTTTTCCTTTCCTCCCTCCCTTTTTCCTTCCTTCCAACTTCACTCTTTCATGGTTAAACCCCTCCCCACCTTTTACAGGTTATTCCAGAAGACCTCAATCAACAATAACAATGAACAAAACTAGCAAACAAAGTGCTAACAAGAAAATCCTTAGTTTGCAAATAAGGAGAAATTTCAGTTTCCTACCCAGCTTGAGTTCATTTATACAAAATGGCCTACATAACAATCATTGTAAAACCTGTAGGTTTTACAATTTTTAACCAGTAGTTTGCTTTTATTTTGAAGGCATACTCTTTCCAGTACTTTTTTTTTTTTCCAATTCACTTGTGATCATCTTCCAAACAGGAACATATTAGAGGAAGGTAAGGTTTGAGATACTGGATCTCACTATGTAGAGCAGATGGCTATCTTCATGCTTCAGGCCTCCTGGGTGCTGGGATTACAGGCATTACAGGGGTGTGCTATCATACCCAGAATCTTATTTATTTCAACTTTTTTTTTTTTTGCCTGTTCTGCTGGAGCTTGAACTCAGGGTCTGGGTGCTGTCACTGAGTCTCTTTGTACTTTTCTACCATTTGAGCCACAGCAACACTTCTGGCTTTTTTCTGAGTAGTTTATAGATAGAGAGTCTCACAGACTTTCCTGCCCCAGATGGCTTTGAACCACGATCCTCAGATTTCAGCCTCTTGAGTAGCTAGGATTACAGGTGTGAGCCACTGCGCCTGGCCATTTATTTCAACTTTTGAGAGAGAGTTTTACAAGATGCTGCAAATGCATACTACTATTAAAGGAAAGGAATAATGTCAACAATTAAACTTTCACAACTATAATTGAAAGGTTTCTCTGTTCATTACAGTAAATCCTAGATGATGTATCTTTTGATATTACTGCTTAGTCTCATAAGCCAGCAATATAGCTCTTAAAGTTTCCCCTTAGAACTGGGGATCTTAAAGCTGCATTGGAACTGAGACTTGAGCTTGTCGACCAGAAGAACAAGGCATCCCTCAGGGACTCTCAGTGGTATTAAGTGCCTTGCCTGTCATGTTTGTTCTGAACGGATGTACTATGTATCGAATTTGCACTGAACACACTAGGTGAGAACTACAGTCCTCTTGGAAGTACAGGATTAGGCAAAGAAGTTTATCAGACTTTATATTAAATGGCCCAAGTTCATAATTGAAGCCATAACATACTTTGAGGAGGTTTTACTGCCACATGCTAGCCATTTCCCAAGCTGTCACATTTAAATGGCTAAACATCTGAAATGTTTGGGTCCAAGATCATTCACCCCATGACGCATTGATCATGGGGCCAGTATGCAGACAACTCTGCCAGCCTTCAGCCAGAACCCAAGGCACTACCTCTCCACTGGAATTTTACTCTTCTTCCAGTGAAAAACTAACCCCTCCCCTCCAGGGATTTCTTTAGGAATAACCAGAGTGGAGTTTACTTTTTATTATTATTTCTTCTTTACCTTCAGTGCTGGGCTTTTTCATTTCTTCCACCCTGATTAGTTTCTTCCTGACTCTTCGAGTGGAGTTTACCAGCTTGTGTAACCTCTTAAATTTCACCGACTCTTCCGTCTCATCATCCGATTGTTCTCTTGACTGGCAAAGAAACAGAGGAAAAGTGAATCAAAAAACTGCTTCCCAGCCTGGTTCTCCCAGCTGACAGGGCTGCCTCCACACCGGCTGAAAGCTCTGTCGCCAACACATTCATTCACACGCTGGGTTTTACAAAGCCCCACATACCATCTTCGGGTGTAATTCTGTGTAGAATTAAGTCCTAAGCACAAAATCCACCTCTCTGCCCTCAACTGGACTGTGGGCATTTCCCACCAGCTACTACCATCCCTGTCTCTTTGAGGACATCTCCGGCAGGACTCTGTCTGTCTGACTCTCTCTCTCCTCTCTCTGAGCTAGCCCTGGAATTCCGTTACACTGCTGTGGTTTGGGTCAGGCTCTCTTCCTCTGTCTGCCCCATTAGGAGTTGCCATTGAACGTGGTCATCGACTACTTCTCCAAAGCAAAAAAAAATTCTGCTGACTTTTTCCAGTCCTTCCCCACTTCCCCTTCTGTCCCCGCCCCTCTCCCCCATCAAAAACAGCAGGCAGGAAAGAAGAGGAGATTTAAAAAAAAAAAAAAAAAGAAAGAAAGAATAAGATCCCTGCTCTTGGCCCATTTGTTAGCACGGCCTGCTGCATCGGGGCCATCCCTTCGCCGCCCCCCCCCCCGCCCAGTTCCTTTTGGGGGCTCACAAGGCGAGTTATGAGGACAGCCCCACATTCCTCCGGGGGAAACAAGGGAACAAGCTGACCTTTTCAGCCATACAGTACAGTCCATATTCCCCAGCATCCCATTCCACTCTGCAGTGATTTAAGTATGCTCTGGCCCAGCTGTTTTCTCTCAAGTATCAAACATTACAGAGAGAAAAAAAAAATCCTCTCTCCATAGCAGTGACCCAGGCTAAAAACAATCCTTTCCTTGTGAATAAAATGAGGCTTTCCATTCCAAGTCGGCCCCAACATTCAATATGCAGCTTCCCTTGCAGTATCTGCTCAAAATGTAGAAAAGCAAAAGACGTTTCCCACTGCCCGAGTGCTGTGTGCAGCCGGGCCCGTGGGGAGCTTGCAGCTCGGGCACGCCCTGCGCCGCTCGGGACAGGCCTCGCTAATCCCGCACATCCCTCTCCCATGTCCTCAAACTAGTTCACGGGAGAGCAGGCAGAGAGATGACTCAAGCCCCACAGAAAACAAAAACAAACCACATCTCTGAATGTGACTCAAATGTGGAAGCTTTTCTTCCTCGCCTGTCCCCCCACTCCCTGTCCCCAAGAAAGGCTCTCATGAATCCCAAGTTTCCAGACAGTAAGGAAGAGTTAGCAGAGAACCAATTAAAAGAAGAGAGGTAGAGAGATGGTTCATTTCTTAGGCATACAGTATTTTCTGTACAAGGAGAAAGATGACCCGTTTTCTCCTTATCCTGGAGTTCACAGCCTAGGATCACTAGACTGTCTTCCTGTGCGATGGCCAACAAACCATTCACGCACTATGCATTAATTAGTATAAAACTAGCAGCAAGTCATCAGGGCAAAGATATTTTTCAACTTCTCAGCTAAGATGTGGGTCAATCTCCAGGTCTGGTTCTTTAAAGTTCCTACATAAAATGTTGTATGGATACTCAGGAGGCAGAGATCTGAGGATCACAGTTCAAAGGCACCTAAGGGCAGGAAATTCTGTAAGATTCTTATCTTCAATTCACCATCAAAGAAGATAGAAGTGGAGGTATAACTTAAGTGATAGAGTGCTAGCCTTGAGCAAAAAGACAGTGCTCAGAAACAGTACCTAGGCCCTGACTTCAAGTCCCAACCCCCCCCCCCCCCACACACACAGTTTTATGTAGATTTCAACACAGAAGTTTACTAGCTACTTGGTCAAGAAGAATGCAAACAAGAGACCTCTAGGTAATGGAAGAGGGAGGTTATATTGGACAATTAGCTTGGTGTGTTTGGCTCAAACATAAAAGGTTAAAAATGTTAACTCAAACAGTAAATGACGGTCCAAATGCATATGGCATTACTTGGTTTGAATATCATATCATTTTTACTTGATTGAATGATTATGTGTTAGGAAATGATCAGAGTAGTCAACCAGAGGCATGAGAACTGGGCTGGCATTTAACCTGGGTAATGGACCCCTACATAACCTGCAGCGCATGGGATTACATGCATTCCGTTCTAACAGAAGAATTGACCTGACACCACACGAAGTCTCTGCGTGTTCCCTTGAGAAAATCCGAGGATATGTTTCTAACCCTGGTCATAAATTCTGAAGTCAGATGAAAACTGAACTAAGCCCAAAGTGTGTGTGATCAAAAAACAGGGAGAACCAGGAAGCTGTATTACAAGGTAAAAATCAGGGATGTGGACAGACCTCATGCATAGGTTGTGGGTGCTGGGTGGTACTGGCATGTGTGAGGGGATTGGGAGGGCAGAGGAGGAACTGATATTGAAATTAGTAGTAGAAAATTTTTAGTCTACAAAGATACAAAACATCTGTAGGAAAAGTGCATTCTGGAGAACTTTCCAAGCCGAAATGAAAATAGTTCATACCAGCAGAACAGACCGAGAGGCGACAGAAATTCCCCTCATAAAACCCTTCTTTCCTCCATTCAGATTCACTATGGTAGAAAAAGAATATATTCCAGGTACTTATTTAATTGATTTCACATGCTCCATCTGCTTTTTGAGGAACATGAGCAGTTTAGATCTGGAACTGAAGTCATTTTTATTTTCCTAAAACAAGAGAGATTTGGAAGCTATCTGTCATTGACAAATCAGAAAACACAGCAACCAAGAACTTCCCTTGCCGTTACCATGCTCTGGATACTCAACAAGTTCGGTGCGGCATGACTTATAATGAAGACAAATCTAAGATAAAACAGAAGTCATGCCAGAAATTTATGAGTGTGTATTTTTTTAATAAAGAAAAAAATTCCTGTACACTCAGCCTGGGAGTGGAGTTCTGCAGTGTTTCTCAGGATGCTTTTTTATTGATGGGGAGGGACTGACTTCTCACTTCTTCCCGGGTCCCACAGAAGGGGGGACTAAAATGTTTGCTTTTAAGAAAGTCTCTTTGGCAGTGTTTTTAGCATAAAGACATTGTAAAAGGCTGCATTTAATCGTCTGAACTGGATAGTAAATCAATACAGTCTTCATGCTGTGCTTCTCTTTCTAAAGAACTATGAGCCACTTCCCAAATACTAAAAATAACACATCACAGCTTTCTATTCAGGTAATTCACTACGAGGGAGTTGAGTTTGAGAATGTTTCAACAGGCCCTCGTAGTTCATGACTATAATCCTACCAGAGGCTGAGATCTGAGGATCCTGATTTGAAACCAGCATAGGCAGACAAATCTGAGACTCCTATCTCTAATTAACCAGCAAGAAGCCAAAAGTGCAGGTGTAGCTTGAGTGGAGAGCCTTGAGAGGAAAAAAAACTAAGCGAGAACTCAGCTCAGGCCGTAGTATGGGATTGGTGGGGGAGAAAACATTAAGGGTCATAAAAATATAATACTTAAATGATTATACATACTTTAAAAATCTTCTTACTACCTGAAGGAAGTCTGTAGGAGATAAAGGAGATAAAGGATTTCTGCACTGTATAGAAATTAAAAGATTCCAAAAAGCAGGCTCAAAATTATCATAGAAGAGACTTTATATAAACCAAAGTGGAAAAGTAAAGTAAACATAAGTTTCCCAACTACTCGAACATGAGATACTATTGCTCCCTTCCTTTTCCTTCCACCCCAGGAGGGAGTTCACTAAAGTTCATTAAAATATAAGTTAGTTTGCTCACCCTAGAAATGACAAGGTAAAACTCAATCAGCAATATACCATCCCTCATTCCTAACCTTTAAGAGGGAAAAAAAAAAATCAACCTCTCCCACTAATGATGCAGAAAAGCGCCTTTATAATATTGTAAATAAGAAACGTTCGATTTCCAGTTTCTCTACTATGGACTCTTTCCACCACCAAGCCCATATGGCTCAACTTTTAATTACTTTGGCTAATGCTATATGTAGTAATTCTGTGGTGAATGCTTAAGTGTTTCATTTCTGGTTGCCATAGCAACATTACATCAGATTGCAGACAGCTGGCTCCACAGTTTTAAACCATAACAAATTGACCAAGCCAAGACACAAAACTATAGCTCCTTTAAAGAGATAGCACACCATTGGGCTGCCAGGGCGCTGAATGGGAGCTGACAGGGCCATTTGGCATGGCATTTGGAAGGAGGGTGGAGCCTCCTTCCTCCCCAGCTTCTTTTGGAACAAGTGCATCCCTGACACATCTGTGCTGTCCTAATGGGAAAAGCCATGGAGTCGGCGTGGAGAAAGTTTTTATAACATGGCAACATGCAGGATGATGGGGAGGGGTGGGGGGAACAAAATGAATCACATCTGTAAACAGGAAGATGCATGTGCTGGGCACACTCAAAGTGTCCCCTCCATGCTCAATGAAAGCCTGTCATTGCCGCCTGTTACAGATATTCCGAAAACCGTAACAAACTGTTTGCAGCTCTATATGCGTTATTCTTCCCAAAATGCTTTTCCAAAGCCATAGGGCACAGAAGAAATGAATGTGTTGTTAGAAGGGTTAAACCAAGCTTAGAAGGAGCCATTACCCTTTCTGGGGGACTGCTGCGGACCATTCTGAACGCTGGAGTTTAAGGGATGTCTTTCATGGAACTGCTGGCTCAGCTGGCTTTCTCAGCTCAGAATGAACCCATCACACACACACACACACACACACACACACACACACACACACACACACACCACTGTTTAACACCCAGACCAAGTCATCAACCCATCTCCCACAGTGCCACATAAGCATTTCTGAGAAGCATTTGTCAACTGCAAGCACACTTGCTTGCAAATGTCACGTAACAGTTTCTTTTTAAACTGGAGTGTAATCAAACCTACCCGGCTTCAACTTCCTAGATCCAAGTTGTCAGGCATTAATCTTAAAAGTTAAGAAAAGGGCGATCAGTTGTAGACTTAAGGAAGAAAACACACACACACACACACACACACAAACCCACC